TTGATGTTCATGTGTCCACGGTAAAACAGACTGTCTACAAATGGAGAAAGTTTAGCACTGTTGCTACTCTCCCTAGGCGTGGTCGTCCTGTAAAAATGACTGCAAGAGCACAGCGCAGAATGCTGCATGAGGTAAAGAAGAATCCCAGAGTGTCAGCTAAAGACCTACAGAAATCTCTGGCACATGCTAACATTTTTGTTGACACATCTACAATAAGGAAAACATTAAACAAGAATGGAGTACATGGGAGGACACCACGGAGGAAGCCATTGCTGTCCAAAAAGAATATTGCAGCACGTTTGAAGTTTGCAAAAGACCACCTGGATGTTCCATAGCACTACTGGCAAAATATACTGTGGACAGATGAAACCAAGATTGAGTTGTTTGGGAAGAACACACAACACTATGTGTGGAGAAAAAAAAGCACAGCACACCAACATCAAAACCTCATTCCCACTGTAAAACATGGTGGAGGGAGCATCATGGTTTGGGGCTGCTTTGCTGCCTCAGGGCCTGGACGGATTGTTGTCATTGATGGGAAAATGAATTCCAGAGTTTATCAAGACATTTTGAAGGAAAACGTACGCCCATCTGTCCGCCAACTGAAGCAGAGGATGGGTGATGCAACAGGACAATGACCCAAAGCATACAAGTAATTCAACAAAACAATGGCTGCAACAGCACAGAATACGCCTTCTGGAGTGGCCCAGTCAGAGTCCTGACCTCAACCCGATTGAAATGCTGTGGCATGACCTTAAGAGAGCAATTCACACCAGACATCCCAAGAATATTGCTACACTGAAACAGTTTTGTGAAGAGGAGTGGTCTAAAATTACTCCAGATCTTTGTGCAGGTCTGATCTTCAACTACAGGAAACGTTTGGTTGAGGTTATTGCTGCCAAAGGAGGGTCAACCAGTTATTAAGTCCAAAGGTTCATATACTTTTTCCTCCCTGCACTGTGAATGTTTACATGTTATGTGCAATTAAACCATGGCAACATCTAATGTTTGTGTAGTATTATGTTCAGCAGACTGTGTTCTTCTATTGTTGTGACTTAGATGACGTTCAGAGCACATTTTATGCCCAATTCATGCAAAACTCCACGTAATCCCAAGGGGTTCACATACTTTTTCTTGCAACTGTAAATAGGGATTTATATACATGGGACCTGTGGAGTGTGCTACAATTTTTTGTGTTTTCTTTTTAATTTTTAATTTTGTGTCAATAAAGAAGTTTTCGTGCGCCATTTATCACCTTTTTGAATTATTATCCTTTAGTATTTACATTTATACAAATTCCCTATTCCAGTTGAGTCCATAACTAGTCAAATTTTGGTAGTTTCACTATTACCTATTTACTAGATTCTAAAAATTGTAAACTGTATTTGTTTTTGTCCAGACCATCAAACAGAAAGAGAAAAAGTGCAAACCATTGCACAGTCCCTTAAAAAGAATCTGTTGTCTGGGTGCATATAAAATAGATGTAAGCCTCTCTGGGTGATTGTTTCAAAGCTGCTTAGTTGTACAAATCTTCCCAGGTCCTAGCTTGGCTTGCCAGTCATACTTCAAAGATCAAAGGTACACAGATTAGCTGCACTCTTCTCAGACTTTATTGTACATTTCTCATTGAAAACAACACAGGGGTACAACCAGACAGGGCAAGATTGACGCGTTTCATGCTTCGACACAGAAAATAAACATTTATTTTTTGTGTCTGGTTGTATGTAGTGTATGAGAAAGGAGCCTAATTGATTCATCACTGAGAGCTGTGGTCTACAGGATTCCTGTGTGTTTGTACTGTACCTGTCAGTGTGCCTCAACAAGTTTCGAGCAAGTGCTGTCAGAGCACGAAACATGTCAATCTTGCTCTATTTTGTTGTACCCTGCTATGTGATGTTTTTAATGAGAAGTGTACGATAAAGTCTGAGAAAATTGCAGCTAATCTGTGTACCTTTGATCTTTGTCTGGGTGCATACCTTTTTGGAAACAAATCTGCCTGTCCACATACCAAACAGGCTTTAGGGAAACTGACATGGCTTCTCCAAATCTTCTACTTGAAAATGTAAATAAAATCAGATGTTAGTATGCCAGGTAACCAAATATTAAAATGACAGATTTCCTGATCAGCTGTTAGTATGCCAGGTATTAAAATGACAGATTTCCTAATTTCATAAATCATAATCATATAGGCTGGCATTAATACCTGTGCTATGGGGATCTCTCACTTTACCAGTATGTTTAGGGTTTTCCAATGATTTTGTTTGGAGTAATTTTATTGTTGGTTACTAGGGATGTTAAAACCGATATAATTTGGAAATGGCTTAAAAAAATGTATAATTTAGCGAACTGGAGTTGTTCGACAGATTTCAATCATCTACAAAACAACTAATAGAGGACGTATAATGATACTTATGTGTCAACTTCCTTACTACCTTAGGGGTGACTTCTAAGTAAAAGTAATTTTGATTTTGTTATTGCTTCCTAAGCAAATGCAAGGTGTTACGAGTCCCAAGCTGCACTACTTAAGGTCCAGTGTTATTCTAGACAGCATCCCCTATGTCAGCAGCTTTCTGCTCAACACTGAGACACCCTCTAGACAATAAGGTTTACCGAGACTATTGTGTCTGGGATCTCTTGTACCAGATTGTTCCTTTTCAATACCTAAAGACAACCTCTTTCATGCAAGAAGAGACCACCATTTACTTACCTGTTTACTGTTACAGAAGACAATAGCTGTGGTTTCAAGAGCAAGGTCAGCAATTGTAATTTAGCTGACAAGACCTGCTAGATAAAATGCTGCTGTTGTAAAAAGCACAGTAATTTACAAAAATATAGCTAGACAATGAAGTCAGTAGTGTCACAGAACTCAGAACAGATGAGCATACATTAGAGAATGCTCTCTTGAGTATACAGCACAAAATAGGATCATTATGACAGCTGCAGAGTCCAAGACTCTGGAATGTGTATTCCTTACTACAGTATATATATCGCACACAATATACAAGCCTCAGAACCTAATTGAATTTTGCAGGTGGATGCATAAATAATGCAGCACGTTTTTTTTTCAGAAAATACAGTAATGACTTCACCATTATTGTGCTTATATTGTTGAACCAGCATTAATGATATGTGTGTATGTGTGTTGGTGTATGTATGTGTATGCACGCATATAATACTTAATATAATATAATTTTAAAAAAAACCCAAATATATATATACCGTATTTTTCACACCATAAGATGCACCTGGGTTTTAGAGGAGGAAAACAAGAAAAAAAATATTCTGAACTAAATGGTGTACTAAAATATTTAATACAATATAACAGAATAATATTTCAACCATGCAAACAGCAGTCAACAATGGCATTAAGAACCATCATCACTGTCATTAACAATTGAGGAGAGACTTTAAGGTTCGAGTACTCTTCTAGTTTTCTTAGAACTCCAGGAACTCATCATCGCTAGTGTCAGAATTTATGAAGATCAGTTGCTCACAATCACTGGCGTCACTTTCTTTGCTATCTTCATATACCTTATCTTCATTCAGGAGATGACCAGAAACTGTGGATATACTACAGGAGATGTCTAGAGACTGCAATTGTACTACAGGAGATGACCAGAGACTGTGGATGTACTGCAGGAGATGTCAGGGACTGTGGATCTCGCCGCGGCGCACAGGTCTGCACATGCGCAGGTTGCCTAGGCGCACTAATGTGCAGGTACTAGGACCTGGGCGTCCGCAGCGGCAATTGCGGGCCGCGCATGCGCACTCGCGCACGCGCACGCGGGCGCACTCCTGGCACCAATGATGGTGCAGGGCACACTATTTAAACAGACCAGGCGGTGACCAGGTTGAGTTCCTGTTCCTCTGAAGTACGTTCCTGTTGCCGATCCTACTTGTCCCGAAATTGTGTTGACCTTCTCCTGCTCTGACCCCCGGCTTGTCCCTGACTACTCTTCTGCCTATTGTTATAGTATTATTTGGACCTCCCGTTGCTGAACCTTGGCTCGTGACCCGGCTGCTCTCTGTCTACTGCTTTGTACCTACCTGCCTCCACCATTACCGACCCGGCTAGTCTGACCACGCACACTGCTGACTGTCAGCCATCCATCCTGCTTGGGATCTGGACTTGTCAGCCTCTTCACATCAGGCTCACCCCTGGCACATACCCTCAGCGGGACCCCTCTACCATGGTTGGGTGCACTCAGGGGTCACAACCTGGTTTCGGTCTTACACCAAGTCCATCCCCACCATCAGGGGCTCTGGTGAAAAGGCATACTGGGACTTAGACTTCACGTCCTGGGGAATCCCATTCTGTGGATCGCTAGAGATCCCGCTGGGCGGTGTCTGACAGGAGATGACCAGAGACTGTGGATGTACTACAGGAGATAATCAGAGACTGCGGATATAGTACAGTAGATGACCAGAGATGTACTACAGATGTACTACAGGAGATGACCAGAGACTGCAGACATAGTAAGGAAATTGACCAGAGACTGTGGATGTACTACAGGAGATGACCAGAGACTGCAGACATAGTACAGCAGATGACCAGAGACTGCAGACATAGCACAGGAGATGAAGAGATTGCAGACATACTACAGAAGATGACCAGAGACTGCAGACCTAGTACAGGAAATGTCCAGAGACTGCGGATGTACTACAAGAGATGACCAGAGACTGCAGACATAGCACAGGAGATGAAGAGATTGCAGACATAGTACAGGAGATGACCAGAGACTGCAGACATAGTACAGGAAATGTCCAGAGACTGCGGATGTACTACAAGAGATGACCAGAGACTGCAGACATAGTACAGGAGATGACCAGAGACTGTGGACATACTACAGGAGATGACCAGAGACTGCTTACATAGTACAGGAGATGACCAGAGACTGCAGGCATACTACAGGAGATGACCAGAGACTGCAGACATAGCACAGGAGATGAAGAGATTGCAGACATACTACAGAAGATGACCAGAGACTGTAGATATAGTACAGGAGATGACCAGAGACTGCAGGCATAGTACAGGGAATGACCAGAGACTGCAGACATACTACAGGAGATGACCAGAGACTGCAGACATACTACAAGAGATGACCAGAGACTGTGGACACAGTACAGGAAATGACCAGAGACTGCGGACACAGTGCAGGAGATGACCAGAGACTGCAGACATAGTACAGGACATGACCAGTGACTGCGTACATAGTACAGGAGATGACCAGAGACTGCAGATGTATTACAGGAGATGACCAGAGACTGCGGACATAGTACAGGAGATGACCAGAGACTGCGGATGTATTACAGGAGATGACCAGAGACTGTGGACATAGTACAGGAGATGACCAGAGACTGCGGACATAGTACAGGAGATGACCAGAGACTGCAGACATAGTACAGGAGATGACCAGAGACTGCGGACATAGTACAGGAGATGACCAGAGACTGCGGACATAGTACAGGACATGACCAGAGACCGCATACATAGTACAGGAGATGACCAGAGACTGCGGACACAGTACAGGAGATGACCAGAGACTGCAGACATAGTACAGGAGATGACCAGAGACTGCGGACATAGTACAGGAGATGACCAGAGACTGCGGACATAGTACAGGAGATGACCAGAGACTGCAGACATAGTACAGGACATGACCAGAGACCGCGTACATAGTACAGGAGATGACCAGAGACTGCGGATGTATTACAGGAGATGACCAGAGACTGCGGACATAGTACAGGAGATGACCAGAGACCTTTCAGCAATGCACATATATACAGTTTGGTATAGCAGTCCACAGGCAGTCTATGGGGGGGGGGAATTTCTAGCTTTTGGCACTTCAGCGAACGTGCCAACTAAATGGCCTGTTCACTTGCCTGCCTGACACAGTGAACCTCTGGCTGTGCAGGAAGTGATTAATTACTGGTGTTACTACTGTCACTATGTGAATCACAGCTTCCCGCTTAGGACTTATGGTTGCTTGAATGCTGGCAGTTACTGCTTTGCTAGCAGCCAATGATGCAGTCCAGGTCTCATTCACTGCAAGCCAGGGGATTCTCTATTCAGCAGCTTAATGAAAGCAAAGGGGTCAGGAATACTGGCTGACATTACAGTATATATATCATATATGGTCTTTGGTTGATAGGATGCTAGCTGCTGCTTGCACCCTAGTAACCAATTACACTGTGTGGCCCAGCCATATTTGGTCACTGGGAACACCCAGGGATACCTTTTGGCTTGTTTACTATTTGAAACATGCCTGCAGGGAACGGAACAGTTCATAAAGTCCTTTATTAGGAAAATAATAATAATCATGTCCCATGATGTAAAAAAATATCCAAAACATTATTTTCCATGAAGTGAATATACCATGGTGATCCCCTCCCCCTGATCTCATCAGGAATGACAGCAAAGCTTCAATGGTTGCTAGGAACCTGGCAACTGCTGGCATGCTAGATTTTAGGGGGTTTCCACTCTGTTTTTTTGCATACGGTACCACCCTAAGAAGTAACTCCACTTTTGTTGAGAAAAATACATTCCCCTCTGGGTAATCAATGTACATTGCAAGCATTTTAACAAACTTTGTTGCAGATTCTTATCTTTTGTTTTTCGGAAGAAATAGCTGTTTGTATGTCTGTGTCCATTTGCAGAGTGAATCTGTATGGGAGGGATTTCATAATTATCAATCAGCTGCTGCACCTACAGGGCTCTAATGAGGAAAATTGCAGGGTCTGCATCCCTTTAGATGGGATCTCCCTTTGGTAGTATGTCACCAAAAATTCAATTTTTGTTGCAGGGGGGTGCCCAGAATATGACATGTATCTTATTGCAGGCTTCTGGGAAAGTCATGAGCCAATCACACAAGCAAGAAATGACATTTCTGGGGGGTGTTCCATACAGCATGTGTGTACAGAACACATCCAGGTTGCCATACTGCATTTTACAGAATATTACAGTGCTGCAGATTGAAAAGAACAGGTAAATTTTAATAACATTCAATTACAATATGTCTTGTGTTGCAATTGTATACGTATATTATTATTTTTTTTTTATTTGCTGTTTTGGAGTGGAGTTACCTTTTAAATCCCATATCAGACCTGAAGGGCATGGCATGAACTGGGGGTTCATCAGTTCATCACTTACAGTTATTACCTTTTTTTCTATTAGCCTCTTCCTATTAGATTTTAAGCTCCCAAGACTCTCCTAACCCTCTTGTATTGAATTGTATTCTTGCTGTGTTGTCTCTCTTTATATTGTAAAGTGCTGCACAAACTGTTGGAGCTATACAATTCCTATATTATAACAATAACTGTCATTTTTGGCAATTTAAATGGCATGTTTTCCTTTTTAAATATCACTTTTGCTTAAGTACATTGTACAGGTGTGCTCCTTTTAAACAGTTTTAAAGTGATACTAAACACACACTGTTTAATTTATATTGTCCATTCTCTTTCTGTATGTGGATGATGGCATTGTAATTATTTTAATAAAAAAAAAAGCATCTAAGTACCTTTTCCCCTAATCAATATACAGATGTCACATGACCCAGCTCATTCCTAGCCTGTCTGCAGGAAAACAGTTGCAGGAGCTTCTAGTCCTCTGTTACTGGTCACATGTTCAAAATAAAAAAACAGCATTTGGGATACAGAGTAAAAAGGAATTATGAATATCAATAAACAGTTTTAAACTGTCATAAAATATATTTTTGAAATCAAATCTCTATAATTTTTGGCAATAATCTGGTGTGGGTGGATTTCTTCCAGTCTCCAGCTGTGTCATACCCCTCCAGCGTGTGTCTTAGAATAAAATGGAGGTGAAGCCTCCATCAATCAAGATGTAATATCCCACCCCCCCATTGTACTTAGTGGGTTTTGGGCATGAGGAGGAGGGTGGGAGTAGGCTGTCATTTATCACTGTGTATATGCTCACATGTATGACTCTGCTGCTCAGATGTGATAGGGAGTTAATGCTCAGGAAAACTCACTGAAAACTGAACATCTGCACTAGCTGCCAACGCTGTTCTGCAAAATCCCCAACTGCATTGGGCACATGGACAGAAGGAGAAGATAGAGAACAGCAGGATCAATCAGGTTTTTTTTGCAGAATACAGAAAACAAATCCCATAGTGACTGAGTATAAACAGTATGTAATACAGCGTTTATTGAGAGTTGTGTCCGGTTGTGTCCGGTGCTCACGGAAAGGTCCTGATCTCCTCTTTCAATCGGGACCTCTCCCGATCATGTGACCGCCGTGACTGCCGTTATTTAAATTTTCGCAATATTTAGTCAATGTTGCTTCATCCCCATTCCATACCATTATAAGATCATCTATGAATCTGTGGTATAATAGTATTTCTTTTCTTTGATTCAAAAATATATTTTCCTCCTCCCATTGTGCCATGTATAGATTCGCTATACTGGGAGCGGAACGAGCGCCCATGGCGACTCCTTTAACTTGAAGGTAATAGTTGTATTGATACCAAAAATAGGTATGATGCAAACAAAAGTCCAAACATTTTAATAAGTATTTTTTTGTTGTTTGTTATGTAAGGTGGAGTCCTTGTTTAGGGCCCATTTTGCTGCTTTAAGGGCTCCCTTGTGATCTATAATGGTATAGAGCGATGAGACATCCGCTGTACTTAATAATGTGTTTTCATTAGCAATAAGATTTTGTGTTAACGTAATGATATGTCTTGTATCTTTGAAGTATGCTTTAGTTTGCTCTACTAATGGTTGGAGGTATTGATCTATATATTCTCCCAGCCTGGCCGTCAATGAGTTAATGCCATTTATAATTGGTCTTATAGGAGGATTAGAACTATCTTTGTGTATTTTCGGTACTGAATAGATGATAGGTAATCTGCATATTGATGGTACTAGATATTTGGCTTCTTCATCATTTAAAATATTTTTCTTATGACCATATTTAATGAGTTTAGTGAGTTTTCTTTTATAATCCTGTGTTGGGTTTTTGTTTAATATTTGATATGTATCTCTATCGTTCAACATAATATCCATTGATTTTTCATAAAATTCTTTGGAAAGTAACACAACCCCCCCCCCCCTTCAGCTTGAATACACCTGTGCTTAATCATAGCTTAATATGTAGATTGGACCCCAAAAAGATGGCCACGACCATCCAGACTTCTAGAAAATGGCGCCGTATCACTATAAAAGAATCCTTAGTATGGTGATTGTTCTATCACATCCCCCGGACTAAGCCACGTGTCCCTGTGGCGCAACGCGTTGGGGAGGGGCTTTGACGTCAACGCAGCAACCCGACTTCACGGCGAGTATAAGTCTATGTGAGCAAGTGTGAGCAGCCACGCAGGAGACCTGTCACAAATGCATTTATTGGTTTCACTCAGCGCTTTTTATACTGAATACTTGTGAGTGCATAAGAAGAAGTTGTGAATAAAATTGTTCTTTTAAAAAACGATAAGGCACCATGTACCTTTTTCTTTCCCACTATACCAACGAGGAATAATACAAGGAGATGGAGCACTTTTTATTGCCATGAGAAAAAGCTAACCCACAGCCCCACAATCATCCTTTATCAATCATCAGGAGTATCCAAGGGAGTCTCTAAAGATATCCATCAAGGATAAACATCATAAAGCTGTGTTAGCCCAGCAATGGGCTAAATGGAAGGTGAGCGCATACAAGTATCTATATTCCAGCAAGAATCCATCTGCAATCTTGTTTGACTAATCAACTTTAATCGAATTTATATAGACTTTTTTTGGACACTATTAATTTTTTTATTATTTAAATTACTTATATTATGATATTTTTTCATGTTTTTTGTTTTTTTTTTCACATTTTATTATTGATTTATTTTGAAGTTGTAATAAGTTGACTTGGAAGGTTCATTATTTTTGGAAGTATTCGTATCTCACATTTAGGGCGTGGCAATAAGCAATCAATTTATTGTACATTACTACTAAACACATTTATATGAGGATGTGAATAGATGCCTGCTGACCTATATATTTAATTATTATCTCATACCTCAGTGGCTCGCAAGTATGTATAATATATATTACTGGTCTTATAGCATATTTTAGTCCTGGTATACTTTTTCATTGTTATAGATAACATCTGCACACTTGTAGTGCTCCTCTGCTGCCAAAGGTTTGGTGTCACATTCACAGAGCTAGCCTGCTTGAATCAATCACATTCTTATGAGCTGATAGAGAACAGCGTTGGGTCTGGCATCCAGGGAATATTTGTCTTTTATGTTATAGACTATACAGTCAGACTGCCTTTCAGCTCCTATTTATATGTTTCTCTGCTCTTCCCCCATGCATTGCATTCTCATATTTACTGAGCAGAAAGTACACAGGACCTCTGGATGCATAAAGCAAGATTTTAATCATAGGCTTGCAGTCAGCCTGACAACAAATAGAAGCTTTTTGTACATATATGCAGCAATGCTGCAACCAGATGCTCAGTCTTCTGCGAGCCACTGTGTGCTTCTCTCGTGTGCACCGCTACGCAGACCCATTTGAAGGGCTGCTGCAAAGCATTAAAAGGAAGAAAAAGAAGGAGGGGAAATTGTAATTCCCAGTTCTTAGGAGGAGGAGGGAACAATGAGTAACACTGCCCTGTAGGAAGAGGAGGCATGAAATCCATCACTC